GAAATTAGGGAAACTGCAGCATATCTTTGCTCACCATAGCCATGCCTCGTCTTTGTAGTTCGTAGTTCAGTAACATTTTGATGTTTTTAGGCATCTATTCAACATTACATGAATAAAGAGGATAAGCTCAACTTAATCGAGAATATGAATGATGTTGTTTGGTACTGCAGACGGGTCTTTTTCTCTGTTGCACATCGTGTACTTTTTTTTCTCATTTTAAAAGTGTTTAAGAGTTAAACTTGTTAGGTTCCACATTCCTCACCATTCAATAGAATAAGATACAAAGATGAACTTTATACTTTAATTTACTTTTGACTTTTTCACTGATCAAAAAACGAGGTAAGCGCTGAAAGCTATAGAAACAAAGTTATCTCAACTTATCAAGAAAACCTTACAGAAAATTCTTATTAATTATAAAAAAAGTATATGCAAGGTTATCTGCTTAGGCATCGTATCATCAAATGAAATCCGTGTTCCACTCAATAAGCCTAGGTGGATAATGAAATGGATGGGTTCCAACAAAAAGGCAGTGGCTTAAGCAATGAAAAAAAAGTGAAGCACTATTTTATTAAATTTCATGCCAGCTCTTAATCAAACCATATTTCTCCGATGACTCTCAAAACGAAAGAAAAATAAGTTTATCTTCTGTTTTTCAACCTGAAATTTGTGAAAGTTCATATTTCTTTTGCTCTTTTTAATCTTGCCAAGTTTATAAAGTGCTTCATCGAAGAAAAAAAAATTATGCCGCTGAAGGAAATCAATACGTTCTCATGTAGTTGAACAGTTGGCATGGAGATGCATGAGGAGCAAAGCTGCGTTCCGAAATTCCCAAATTTTCTTGGAAAAATGTGTATCCGTGCGAAAGTTAGCAAAAATATAAATTAGTGAGATTAGTAATTTTTATCTAAGATTTACAAACATGTGAAACCTCATACAGGGACTAGCTATTGACAAATTTATATTAACTCATTTGTTTCTCAGTTTCAAAGAAGAGAGTGGATAGGGTGCTTTGCATAAAATCCAGCGATAATACAAAAAGGAAGAAAAATCTTTAGGAACAGATTGTTGAATACGGCTACTCTACTTTGATACTGCCGAGGCATAAACTATAACCAGCAGTTTCATGTCCTTGTCGGACCTATTATCCTCTCCATCATTTCCTGCTGGTTCTTAAACGTAAGCAAAACTCTGAATAGAGACTTTTTCAACGACCACCGCCACTGGAGGAACACAGCAATCACTTAGTCGTACCTTGGATATCTTTGATGAAACCGATTTAAGCTTTGACCCCTATATTTACCACACTTTTTTATGCCTTTGGATGTCTTTAAGCAAATAATTGCTATAAGTGTCTTAACAAGGAGTTTACAGTATAAGGCATACCTCCACAAGTTATAGATACTTTGTTGGAAACTCGCATAGTAATTACATTTACTAATCAGCTCCTCCTAATCACAGTTATCAAATTGTGCTGGACGGATGGTGCGAGACTTCTTAAGGCGAATGAATAAATAATGCACCCGATATGTAGTGATATA